TACTGTGGTATAAATATCCAACGATATGGGAATTACCTCCATATTGCCTATGTCAGAATTGTCAGTCCAGCTTCATCACAGGGAGAGCATGAGGAGTAGAAGGTTTTGAAGGGGGATGTTTGTGTTAATTTTGTACTTGGCCTGAAACTGCTGATATTGCTGTCCGGAGTGAATTCATTTAACAAGACTTGTTAAACAGTCCTTTTCTGTTAACTGCTGAATGACTGACCTTCTGCTCCACACACCTTAAAACTACAGTGATGGAAATAGATAAAGAAATTAAAGCTGCAAGCAGCGATGAACGGGCCCTCGCACTCCATGCAACTCGGGGTGTGCTGCGGCCACGTCATGTGCCAGCGTAACACGCGCGGACCACAACATGAAAATTTCACATAAATCAGCTCAAAATTGCCATGCAGCGTTTACTTCCTGTTGCCAGTAGGTGGTGCTATCACTACATCTGAATATTGTCATGTAGACATGTTCAGGGCGGGACTCTTATTAAATATGTGAAGTTTCATTGAGATTGGATCAAGTACACAGAAGTTATGACAAATCCCTCTTTCATGGCGAGTCGTTGAAATTCCACGCCACGCCACAGTCACACTGTTCGACGGAATGTCGTAAATAGCACAACTTTTCATCATGAATGTCTTTAGATGGCTGTGTCCAAATCTGGAGTCGATCCGATCAGTTCCCTAGGAGGAGTTTGTTCAAATACAATGTGTGCAAATCGCCAAAAATGGCAGCTAAATCCGAAATGGCCGGCTTCCTGTTGGGTTTGGGATATGGCGCCCACTGGCTTTTTTGTGTGTCAGGATAAGATCTACGTATGTGCCGATTTTTATACATATCAATGAATGGGGCCCTAGGTGGTACAGTTTATGGGCTCCTGAGGGGCCATTTCGCCATGCTCATAGTGGACCCCTAGAAAATACGGAATTTTTTGCCACAACTGACATGTGCACCGCGTTTAATGGGTTTTCGAGCATGGGAAAGCCTCCAAAAATGCGATTCATTTGTTACTAAAGGAATAAGAATCCTTCCAATTACAATAGGGCCTTCGCACAGTCAGTGCTCGGGCCCTAAAGATAATTCACTGACAAAGAATAAAATTAGGTCTACATCAGTGACATGACTAAAATACCACTTGGGATGTAACAATTTATCAATTTTTATGTAGATGACAGTCAGACAGTATGCCTACTTACCCCCATATTCCACCGGGCAGAGTCGCAACATGTTCCAGCCAACAAACAGTCGAACAACCTTATGTCTGATGTTTTTGTACGTAACCCTTGAACAAATCACAAGGGAACTGGAGATGAGGTTTTCAATACTGCACCTTTACTTTTTGGAGCTATGGCCTACCTTACTTTTGGAGATGGGCAAGATAGAGTAATATCTCTTTGCAATTACAACCAAACATTTTATATTTATAGCTATCCCAATATCAACCAAGGATTATGCCTCTGTCTGTGATGGTCCTTTTATGTTATGAACTGGGTCTGCATTAATAGCAGCATCAAGTGCGGGGGGCCAGTAATAGATCTTTGTGATTGACAGCTTAACAGACACCAAAGTGCACAGCATAGTATGAAACAGGAAACTCTGGAAAGCAATCCTCCAAATCCACAATTGCAAGGTAAACTGACAGTGAAGTGTGTAATGATGAGGCAGAAAAGCAAAAAGCAGGATGCAGAGACAATGCAGGTAAGGGACTCCAGACTGGCTTCACCCAGGAAATGTGGAAGGTAGAAAAGACATACTGGACCTAGGGAGGTGGAAATGGATGTCTGCTGGGTTAAAAATCCTAGATATGGAGAAGGGGCCCATGAAGCGGGGCACCAATTTGTGTGATTCCACTTGCAAGGGAAGTTCCCCAACTGACAACCACACCTTCTGACTAGGGTGGTGACAGGGTGCATAGTGCTGGTGTGTGACGCAGGTCAGTCATCTGCTAGTAGCGAAAGAAGATGCGGGACAGGGTCACCTGGGCCCTCATCCAGGGGTGGAGGCAACAGCAGTCAAAGGTCTGGACTGAGGGGTTACTAGCCCCCTGCTGGAGCTCTGGGAAAAGTGTTTGGCAGCTGTAGGTTCATCTAAAGGTGAGAGGCCAGTGCTGGAGCTGTGGAGGAAGTTCATACTTTTCCATATCAGCTACTTGAGACTGGGAGGAGAAGCAACAAAGGTGGTCTCCAGCTCAGAGCTTTCAAGAAGTATGTTAGTATTAAGCATGTCCCCCAACACGTCATTAGCCAGAGCCTGAAAGACTGCTGGGGCAGTCAAGCCAAATGGCATGACAAGGTGCCTGTAATGACCGTCATTCATTTATGCTTGTCCTGGAGTTTCACCAGATGGTAAGCGTTACAGAGGTCCAATTTAGTAAAAATTGTTACATTTTGCAACAGTTCCAAAGAGATAGGTGGGAAGGGGTACCTGTTCTTGACAGTCAGATGAGTGTCTATATGGATAGTCAGGTAACTGCGTGGCATTATTACAGCATTTTTAGTTATCAGTGTGGTGTTTTCTGTACTATTATTTATTTATTTATTTCTAAGATTATTTTGGGGGGCTTTTTATATAAGACAGGAGCAGCTAAAGAGTGTGAATGGGTAAGCATAGAATTATTGTGCAGCGTGCTTTGGATAGGAAGTGTATCATTTCATGATGAGCAACTTGGCATTGCATGGCAATTCTGCTATCAGTTTGAATGGGTATATGTTGGCATTTGCTGTAAAATGCTTTTAGTGGTCAGCAGACTAGAAAAACGCTATATAAATGCATTCCATTTACCACTTACACTATCAGTCTAGACACAGACAAGAGGCTAATGACTTTGTTTTAGTACTAAGCCCAAAGGAAGGGACAAAGTGTCCATTTTGGTTTTGTATTTTCATATTGCTGGCTTAGTTTAGTCAGCGCTGTGGCCTTATTTATCAAACTCAGCAGAGAATAAAATATAAAAACAAAAATATGCATTATATATATATATATTATATATAATGAATCGTTAAAATACCTACCTGTGGAGAATTGTGCATGTGTACTCCTCCCAGTGTTTTCCCACAATCGTCCATAAAGGGTCAATGTTTGATGATTTAGTTGGCTGCCTGTGATGTTTATGCTTCGCTTGGTGTTAGGGAAAATGAAAAGATTTAGAGGGTGCTGCATATTGATGGGCACACCTCTCTTAAAGGATATGAACTGAAAGTTTTTAGAAATTTAAACTATCACTTTCTTGAGATTGACTGCAGTGTTGGTGTGAACTGGCCTTCACAATCTACTGTAAATGACACACCACACATAGACCCAGGATGCTACCCCCACAGCATTGTTTGTTTGCTGTCATTCTTGATGTTCTCAGCAATGCATCTCTCTAGCCTATTTCTCAGTTAATCCCCCCACTTCTACTCTATCAGTGGAAGCTTCCACTGCCTCAAACATCCCCTTCCATTCCCAGGCAGACATAATGCCGCCTGGCTAACAATGAAGGAGTACATCTCCTTCATCTGATGCTGATGGTGATGATCATCCCTCAGAAGAACACACAATCACTATTTTTAAGTGGATAAATCACAGTTCTCCATCTAAAATCTTCAGCTGCACTCTGGTTCCCATTTATCAAAGAAGAATAAGCCGTGGCTGCTGGGGTACACAATAACCAATGAGTGATGAATGTGGAAGTACCTACTACATTGCCATGTGTCATTCATATATTTAGAGTAGAAAGGGCAAACAGAGTAGAAATTATAATATTATAATAATAATAATAATACGTACCCATTAAATAAGAACCAAGAAGGATTGGAAGGAAGATTACGAAATTAAGTAGAAAATGTATATAAATTAAAGAGAAATCCAGAATCCGTACAGCCATCTTGTTAGTCATTTCAGCTCTGTCGCTGTCATTGTCCTCTGTCCCAGATGCCAGAAGGGGCCTCTTAAAGGGGACCTATTATGCCAGTTTCCAGCTCTATACCTGTACTCTGGTATTGCATGATTCACAGTTCAAAATTATCATTATTTATCTTATACTGGCCCTTTATGCAGTCCCTCAGTTCATCCTCTGTCCAAAACAAGGTGTCTCTTTAAAGCCCCCCTGCCTGCTGAGGGGCAGCACCCAGTGTTTGTGAGCAGCTTCTTTCTCTTGTTGTTGTCCTCAACAGGATATTATAGCTGTAACTTATCTTGGACAGTAGTGATATGGGGCACTGAATTTGATGTATTTACTGTTTATCAACTTTTCACTGATTACTGTACAAAAGTATATAGCATTTATGACTTCATTCAGTGATTTTGGTGAAACTGGATCATATCTTATGGAGAATTTTCTGGTCTTCCCTCTGATGTCCTTTAGCTGCTCTGTTTCAACTCTCAGTGATTTACAAGGTTTCCTGATGGACAGCTTTACTTGTTGTTAGCGGTTAGGTACTTAAGCTTAACTGTAGCTGCTATTAGCTAGTTAGCCATGCATTGAGGCATCCAGTTAGGTGACTCTGCCCAGTCTAGGAGCTCATAGCACCAGGGCGGTGTCAGTGTTTAATGTTACAGTACAGGTGGTTTGCACTGCCAATAGCATCTGTGCTGAGCAGAGAGGTTGAATAACTGGACAGACTGAGCAGGTGGCCATGTCCCTGTACTTCCTGGGTGTGCTGCAGCAGGAGCAGAAGACCAATTACAGAAATCTGTAACACCTGTTGGAAAATGTTGCATTCAGAGCAGTTTGAATACCTGAGCTTTTTCTCAAAGAGATTACTTTTATATATGTTTACCTCATTATTTGAAACTTTGGCTATCTTTAATATGAATATCCGACATCGTAACATTAAATATATGACAGAAAATAAAGGAAAGTATAATAGGTATCCTTTAAGGATAAGTGATATTGAAAAATTGACCATGGAGCAATGGTGCGTTGTACTCGTCACATACAGTAAAGAAAAGTGTGAGGAAACAGTAATTCCATATAAGCCCCCTGCCCTGTGCTTTTTCCTTAGGCTTCCCAGCTACAGCTTATGGACCAGTGGCAGCAGCGGCGGTAGCAGCAGCTCGTGGCTCAGGTAGGGGGACCCGTGGAAGAGGCGGCGGCTACACGGCATATGGGCAGAACGCAGGGGCAGGTAAACGCTCTGTCGATATTCTGTGTGGCCTGACGCTCTCTCCATGCAGTTTCTCACTTCTCTGGTCTGCCTTGCTTTTCCTAAACCTAACACCTCACACACAAACATACACACCTTAACACACTATTATGCTGCTATATAGTGCATGTAAAGTGGATGGAGAAGGTGAATTACTTTTCTCCTCTCACTTTGATGACAGTAAAATTACAGTAATGCATAGCTTCCATAGGTTGTCAAAAGAGCTACTGTACCTGCCAGCTCTGTGGATGGATTATGATTATTATAATGTTAGCCTGTATATTTGTGAGCAAGTAGGTGTGGATGGGTCACTTTAAAGCCCAACTGAAATCACAATTTAGTCATCCCTTTGTGCAATCAAACATTGTGTTAATGTGTTTTTTAATTGTATTGTTCATTGTTTTTTATTACTGAAAGGAATATAGAGAAAAAGACACCATTCATCACACTAAACTGAGGTGCTGAAGCTAATGACTGTTAAACTTCATGAAGAAAAGCATCTACACGCTCATATCACTCATGCAAAAGGTTACAAGAACATCACTTAATGCAGAACACTTGTGTCAATCAGTTGAAGTTGTGTGAATAAACATTAAGGGATAGTCACAGAGACAAGAAACAATATGTATATGTCGAACATATAAAAGTGACAATATGCACAGACAGATGATGTGTAAATTGATGCTACATAAACATCAGGTTTCATCCAGCATAAAACATAGCATAAAGAGTCTCTTATAGTTCATTCAAAGTGCAAAACTCATGTCAAAATCCTCATTAAGACTCAGGGGTTGCTGTGTTTCTAATCAGTGGATCCAAAAATGCTCTCTTTGGCATAACTTCCTGTCAACATCACCACGTCTATGAAGTATAATTTGCTCTATGCACTGGAACTGGAAGGAAATGGGATGTGAGTGGTTCTTAAAGTGACAGGCTAGAGGATAATTCATATCTTTGTATCTTGTGGAACTTTCATGTTCACCAGTTCTTTGCTTAAAGCAATAATATGTAACATTTCTAACATCATTTCAAAACATCTTTAAACTCTATACCTATGTCCCATTTGTTGTTGAGTAGTGTACTTACATTATTCAGGTAAAGCTGCGTTTTACTGGTCGCCTGTCTATGGCATCATGTCATACATTGACTGTTGATCCAGTCTGAAGCCACATTGTTACCATCCACTGTTTAGATCTTGGTGCTTTTTAACTCTAGATTTGAACCAGATGAAGGATTTTAGTCATCAGACGTCTGGATCTTAAGTTATCAGAGAAACAAGCTGAGCTAACGTTAGCAGCAGCTCGGCTCGCAGCCCCTCCGGGACGTCCTTTGTCTGTCCAACAGCGTGGGAGAAACAGTGATTTTTAAGGTGGAACTGCTTTATTCAGTGTTTTAGTGGTTTTAATGAGCGGGTCTGTTTGTTTTGGAGAGGAGGAGACCTCTGTGGATAATTGGGTTCCCGGTAGAAACCTCCTGAACCACAAATACTGAGGGAATCCTAACCAGGCAAAGCTGACTGCAATGACGGCAATGGTGGTGAAGACAACAACTCCCATGATCCCACACTACTTCATGACATCATCAAATTTATATACCATCATATTGTGCCCCTATCTTTGCATTAATATGACAGAATATCTTTAGTTTTCTGTCTACTTAGATGGAGATTTGCTTTCCAAATTTCAGCAAATCGAATTTTTTGCACAAAGCTGTGATGTCAGCATTCAATCACAAGCTGTGCATACAGTCACACTGACTAACAGCCTGCTATACAACTTAAGAGCTACAGACTTTAACAATAACTCACATTAGATGTCATAAGTGTCCTCCCTATCTAACGTATAAACATGACCACACTGTGTTCTTTGTGCCTTATTTCAGCAGTGCACCGCTAATGTCAGTTTGCAGGCTGATGCTGGTGCGGTTGCTAACAACACACTACCTGCCCATGACAGTTCAAGTCTGTTTACTTTGTCTCTAATTTTCCTGCTGCTGCCGGAGCACTTGCAGCCTGCCAGCTGCTGTCAATCAAACACAGACGCCAACACGCCCCTCTAGACAAAAAGGAGCATTTCTGATATTTTCCCCAAAAACTTTTTTTTTGGTAATAAGAGCTTACTAACAATATATTTGAAAAACATGTTGACATTATCTTTGACTACAAAAAGGGATGACTTAAATTTACTCTTCACACCTACTGCTGAAAAAGATAATGCCTGTCGAAATCATGCAACTAGTATCAATATATTTCAGCCTCCTCAGATTTATATTCTATCTTAACTTCACTGGGAGGAAAACAACAAGCAGCAGAGCTGAGGCTAAATTGACAAATTCCATTTTGAATGGTGATGGACATCAGACCTCATTCAGAGTCAGAGGAGGGGCATGAGAGTCAGGACACTCGTTAGCACAATAGTAGTTGGAGGGTCAGAGGGTCTCTGTTTATCTGTTTGTCCATGTAGTCTAGCTGTCTTAAACTGAACGCTATAATAACCTAAGGCTTTATTAAGTCTATGTGCAAAGACTAAGTAAGTAAGCCTTGTCTTCATGTTACACACAGTCACATACAATAGCTTGGTTTGATACAGGGCTGTAACTAGCCTTCAGACATATGAGAGGAACAATGGACAAAACTGACAGAGCAGAAGACTAGATATCATGACTTTTGGTGCCTGGCCTGACCTACATTTCCCATAATGCAACTTCACTGTCTGGTGAAAGCACATCTTTTAATCTCCATACCTCCAGTGTGTAACACAGGCTGTCTGTTATAAATTTGTAGTTCATGCAATAAAAAGTGGGGATTTGTTCATTGCAGAAAATAATTGAATATGACAAATATATAACCTGCAGCGATTCTGGTTTGCACTGTGTTCCAAGCTTGGCCCTCTTCCTCAAAGAGCATCAAAAAGTCTGTACTTACTGTTTTACACCACTGGTTCCCAACCTGGGGGTCTCAACACCCAGTAGGAGGTTCCAAAGCTTTAAACTTTATGTATACACATTTAAGTAGACACAGTAGGCCTATATCTCAGCAATGTATGTGATGAAAACTAAATTAAATTGGTATTAAAGTTTCAGTTATTATTTAAGAAAATAAGAATTGTTGTGTTTTCGTTACCTTAGAATGATCAACCGCAATGTCATTCTTCACCATAATTGTCTTGAAAGAAATGTTCTTTTATGTCTTTAAGTGGCAACTGTAGAGGATGAGTAATGTTTTGAAGGTTAGACAATTAAAAATGAAAATTGAATTAAAACCACTTGGTATTATGCCTCCTATAGCTGTTAACTTTGACCCAAATCTATTAAGACAGGAGATAATACAGCAAACCCCCAAATTCTCTGTGGTTTACAAGGACACAAGTTTACAAGTGTAGCAGTCTGTATAGATTTCACATGCACATCACAAATTGACAACAAACTTCCCTTCCTGCCTTTGTCTTTTTCCTGCCTGTTTTCAGTGTCACTTGTGTTTCCTGATTAGTCTCACCTATTGTTGTTCTAACAGTTCTTTCTCCAGCATTTCCCAGTGTTCTCAGCTTTCTGCTTTCTTTTTTTTATAACTGATTTCTTGGCTACCCTTTTTGTTTATGTTTTGGACTGGATTACTTTTTGTAATGAAATCATCTGTACTGTACCAGTTAAGCCTCATAGTTTGCATTTGGGTCCAACGTCTTGTATTTCTCGATCTGACTGGAGTAAACTCCAAAGTGCTTTCTTGCAGGGATGGCGGGGGTCGTTCCCTCACTAAACACCTTAAATTCTGTTTATTTAACATGGCATAATGTAGAAAGTGATTGTCAAACAAATCTATATTCATCAACAACCAAAGTAATGTCCCCATTCATTTGTTAGAGGGCCATCTCAAAAGCTCTTTCCATTAATCAGTTTCTGTATAGTACATTTAAAACCGACTGTACTCTAATGTAGGTGGAGTTGTTAATGGGACTTTCGGGCTAACCCCCTTCACTTTCCCAGCAGTTGGGAAACAACAGATGTGACTTTTCCTGAGAAGCTGCAGTGTTTATCAACTGACACACTGTAAATTTACTGCCAAATTGACAACTTGCTGTTAACTTTCACAGTCACTTTTCTGCCTCGCTTCTTGCTTTCTCTGACTAGCTCCTCACTACGAACATTATGTGGTTTATTAGCCTACAAATAGGACACAATTTTTGACAACCACCTCACCGTCGGGTTTAGTGTGCTAGGTAGGTTAGAATGGTGATGAAACATGGGACGAACTAGAGTGGTTGTTTTGGTACTATCCACAACTTTTGACATTGGAAATGTAAAAATTGCAATCTAAACCGAAAGGCTTGGTGGAAAACGGGCTGTGCCACCAGCGGCATATTTGCTTTAGATGCTCTGCCACAGTGTTGACAAGTGGTTTTGATAGTCAATTATTGTCGACTATTCAGTGAAAGTTCTTGTACAGCCCATTTTATATCCACACTTTCATTTGAGGTTTGTGAATGCCTGGCAAAAAATGATTGTGATTAGAATGGTGTGACTGAACTCTCTGACAGTGTAGCTGAAACTTTCCTTAATCATCTCATTGTAGATAACAAAGTGTCCCTATGACCTGAAAACTCATTTTCCATTTACGTTTACAGAGAGAGATAACTGACTTCTGGTGAAGATCATCTCATAATTATTGAGATCTGAAATGACCTGTATGAACCTGGCTTCTGTTGCATTTACTATTTTATGCTTAACACTTTTACAACTTAGACCTCTTGGAAGGTAAAAGTATACAGTACTACATTATAGTTACAGTGTCCTTTTGTCCGACACAATGGTCTGCTCCAGGGTTTCTGAACGTTATAACATGTACTGTATATATGACTCTCCAAAACCTGATGCAGTAACTGTAGTGGGCCCTTTTTAAGCTGATGGGGTGGAGCTCAGGTTTGGTTTGACTGGAGGTCATGGCAGTTTCTGGGGTTTCTGTTGCAGTGACTAGTGGTGACAAGCCC